GGCATGAAGCGCCCCTGCCAATGAAAATGAATGAGGGTGGGAGAAGTGAGTAATAGAGGGAAGGGAGATGGAGTAAGCAGGAGTGGGGCAGGACAGGGGAACCCTGAAAAAAATTAAATTAAAATGAGGGTCCTTGACTTGCTAAAGTTTGAGAACATTGACCTAGACCTTCCCTGTCAGGTGTCTGTCTAACCTGCTCTTACAAATCTCCAATGACAGAGATTCCACAAACTCCCTAGGCAGTGTATTGCAAAGCTTAAAAACCCTGAAAGGGAGTTTTTCCTAATGTCCAACCTAAACCACCCACACCGCAATTTAAGCCTATTCCTTCTTGTACCATCATAAGGTGAATCATTTCTTCCCTCCTTGTAACAACCTATTAGGTACTTGAAAGCTGTTATGTCCACTCTGGCTGCATCTAGACTGGCAAGTTTTTCCGCAAAAACAGCTGCTTTTGCGGAAAAACTTGCCAGCTGTCTACACTGGCCACTTTGAATTTGTGCAAGAACACTGACTATCTAATGTAAGATTGTCAGTGTTCTTCTGCAAATACAATGACTCTCCCATTCTGGGAAAAGCCCTCTTGCGCAAATGCTTTTGCGCAAGAGGGCCAGTGTAGACAATTGAGAACCGTTTTGCGCAAAAAAGCCCCAATGGCGAAAATGGCGATCGGGGCTTTCTTGCGCAAAACTGCGTCTAGATTGGCACGGATGCTTTTCCGCAAAAAGTGCTCTTGCGCAAAAGTGTCCGTGCCAATCTAGACACTCTTTTCCACAAATGCTTTCAACGGAAAAACTTTTCCGTTAAAAGCATTTGTGGAAAATCATGCCAGTCTAGACGCAGCCAGAGTTTTCTCTTTTCCAGATTAAATAAATCCAGTTCTTTCAATTTTCCCTCATAGACCATGTTTTCTAGACTTTAATCATTGTACTGCTCTTCTTTGAACATTTTCCAGTTTGTCCACATCTTTACAGAAATGTGGCACCCAGAACTGGACACAATACTCTAGTTGAGGCCTAATCAGTGCGGAGTGGAAGAATTATTTTTGTGTCTTGCTCACGATGTTTGCTTGTTTGCAACAGTGTCACACTATTCTCACAGTTAGGGTATGTCTAGACTACATGGCTCCGTCGACAGAGTCATGTAGATGAGTTTACTAGACATAGGAAAATGAAGTGGTGATTTAAATAATCGCTGCTTCATTTACATCAAAATGGCCACCATGCTCTGCCGATCAGCTGTTTGGCGGCACAGCGTGGACGGGCCACGGTCGACAATGGAAGCCTTTATCAAATGCTCCAGTAAACCTCATTTCACAAAGCATACCGGAGCGGTCGACAAAGGCTTCCGTTGTTGACCGCGGCACGTCCAGATTGCCCCGCTGTGCCGCCAAACAGCTGATTGGCACAGTGCAGTGGCCATTTTTATGTAAATGAAGTGGCGATTATTTAAATAGCCGCTTCATTTTCCTATGTCTAGTAAACTCATCTACATGACTCTGTCGACGGAGCCATGTAGTCTAGACATACCCTAACTGTGAGAATAGTGTGACACTGTTGTTGCAGGAATCTGATGAGAAACTTAGGCAGCAGTGGCATGCTACACAACAAGGGGATGCGTGCTGGTTCACAAATATTATTGCAACAGAACTAAGCTGATAGTGAGAGCCTGCAGTGCTGCACATACACCAGTTCAAGGGCACGTGCTCATGAAACATCAAGTCCATGCAGCGTGGCACTGATATGAAGCACCTTGCACTGTGGGTGGGCCTGGCTTTCTAGCTATAATGAGATCTTTGAGGTGCATCATGAAGGAATTTTCTTGTAAACTTCTGAGAGAGAGAGAGAGAGAGTGTGTGCGAGCTCTTAGAGAATGTGTGTGTTTGTTTGTGTGTGTCAGTGACAGTATT